CTCTTTAGATTGATGACCACCCGCCTGAATTGTGCTGATGCTCCCTTGTGCAAAGCCGATTGGGAAAGGGAAAGCCTGCACTTGTTTGGAGTAGGTAGGTATTTTTATCACCTCGTCTTCTGCTTCCAGAGTCAGTGTGCCAGATCAAAACTCAGAATTGGTTTCAATTAAAATCACTCCCTGTACTAGTTGAATTTGGGTAGAATTTACATCCTTATGCATCATTTATACAGATGCACTTTAAATTTAATAATTAAGGAGAGTGCTAATGACTGCATCATTCTTCTATAGAGCTTCCAGTCCTGCCAAAAGGAAGGTTTCTTTCACTGGATTGTCCCCATTCTTTTCTCTCAATTTCATTGCACCCCTCCTGCTAATCAATTCATGAACAGGTATATTGCAGGAGCAACTAATGCAATGTAAATTGAGACACTTGGGTCTTTAACAACCTTCTGTTTTGGATTAAATCAAACTAAGTATGGCTTATTTAGAAAAAATAAAGTCTTGGTAAAAATCAACTTCTTTCTACCAGTAATATATGATGGTTTATCCTGAAAAGCATGCTAAATCCCTGACAGCTCAACAATTAAGAAGACTTCTTTTTCTCCAGTGCTTGAAAAGAACTCAAAAAGATCCTTCAACCCTTCAGTTAGCCCAGTTCATATAGCCACAATGAAGCTACAGCTCTACGTCCTGTGGAAGGGGTCAGGCTCTTACCATTTAAGTTTGATTTTATTTAAGCAGAGTGCTACTAATGTAATATAATGTTTTCTGAAAACATAATGTTAAGGCAATGCTATTAAATCTGAGAGTGCTACTGAGAGGGCATTGCTAAATTATTACTTTCCATCTTTAATTAAATAAGTTGGAAAGTGGTAAACTGTTCAGGTTATATTGGAATTCTTGGTTAAAATAAACCAGAGGTGTCTAATCTTGGTCCCTCAGGGCCAGTGTTTCTTCAGCTTTTTGTTCCAGCTCACCATCCTAAATTAGCTAATAATTTGTCTGATTAAGCCAATTTAACAACTTTTCGTCTACAGCAGCTCTTCAAGTGCCGGTACCTTTGCAGAGACCCAGAAAACACACAGACACACCTGCCGTCCAATACTTTGACTGGATAGCCCTGAAAAAATATTATTATATCTTATCTTAGCTTTTCTGTCCCATACCCTTAATTTAAATTCACATTGGTCCATGTAAAAATACATTACATTCTTGCTGCTAATGTTCTTTGATGTACTGTATACCTTCTTATACAGTCCTTCATAAACATCTTGTATAGTTTTATTCCTAACATTTCAAAGCGCCCTGTCCTATTTCCATTCAGGATGAGCAATCCCCTGTATTTTAACAAAATGTACAGTCCAGATGTCAGTGCACTTCAGGGCCTTTGTGCATTTTGGCATACCTCCAAAAACCCACTGTTCTTATATCTGGCCTAGACAGACCAATTGTTCCACAAGCCCAGTGAAGCCTACGGCTGACCCCCAAAACAAAAGTGAAGTTTTAATTCAATGCTATATGATACCACTGATGCTGTTGCAGTATGACTGTGGAGAGGAAATTCATTGAAAATATATGGCCTGAGCATGCAAAATTCATGAGCTCTAGACAAAAACACATATTGTTCTGTTTTATCTGACATGTAAGGAAACACTTACTGTACATCTCGAAATTGGAAAGTTAGACTGGGGCTCTCTGAGAGGCACCATTGTATTTGGCACACTCAGATTGTTATAAATTATTACTGTTGGGCCGATTTATAAATAGTGGTGGAGCTAAAGTGAAGCTAGCAATGGGGGCTGCTGCCCAGATAGAAAGTTACTAAAACTCTGCTTAAAGATCAGAATAGAGTCCAGAGTGCATAAATGGGGTTGACCCTGAGACACCCGAAAGAGAGAAACATCTCTTTTCAAACATTTTCAGGTTATTAAGGAATTGGCTGCACCTGTAGGAAACCAATTCCCTATTTAAAGACTCAGAGTAGAGGGTCTGAGCAGACAAAGTTGTCTCCTCAGACCCTCGTAGCGTTACAGATGGTGAGATTCTTGATATCAAGGTAAGGTGATGTGTGGCGATTGAAAGCAAAGAGACTTTATAAAGGTACAGTGAAATAAAGACCTACAGTAGGATTACCTCAAGTAGCACCCTTGCTTATTACCAGCCAACAACTAAAAAGAAGACTGGAAGAATGGACTGGCCTAAACGGAATCGAGCAGGTTGAGATTATATTCTACTGCTACTTACCATTTTTTGAACACCTCTGTCAAGTTAGAATATTTCACCACTTTTCTAGGTGATGGCCACAGCATGCCAAAGCTTATCCAGGATTCACAGGTCCAATGCAAGACTAAAAGCACAACTGGTCTTCCATTAGATGGGACTTCATTCTGTAAAGGAGAGAAGTGCAATTAACCAGTCAAACATAGTCTTTAGCAGAAGAAAGGAAGCTGGAAGGCCCGGTGAAATCCATATCAACACCAGGAAAACATGCACTCAAGAGATGCCCCAGGATCAAACCCAGAACCCTGGAACACTGAGACAGCAGCAATTATCTACATGCTGCCCTAGGAAATTATTAATATGCAAATTATCCTGTCTTATAAACAAAGTTGTACAATAGAACGTCTGATGACCGCGAGCATTGGCTTTCAAGCACTTTGCTTCATTTATAATCATAGGTAGTGGTGCTGATCTACAGTATGTCTCTTCTGTTCATTGTTTTAGATGGCTTTCTGTTTATTCATCATTGGGGCAATTCAGCAGGAGATTAAAAAGAAGATGAAGAAAGAAAATAAGGCTTTGTTATAGTTTATCAAGTGACGATTGTATATCACCGCTAACTTCCCATTTGTTTTACTTTAATGAGAATATATATTTGCCTGCAAGTCTTTTTATAGGCAAAATTAATCATTTGGAAGTCAATACTTGACATCAAGGTTCTTGATGCAAGCAAAATGTGATACTTAAAAGTTATTTTTGTAGCTTTAGTTTAGCTTTTGAGACATGAATTTACATATCTTGAAATCTTTCCAAAATAATATTCTAAATTAACAAAGGATCAAATGAACCTCATATGTTCTGTTGAACAATATTACTGTATGTTTGTACTGTAGGCAACCATACAGAGGTGTAATAGAAACTTCTTTTAAGTCAAGATAATATAAAGCTGACAACTAAAAGTGGAAATCTGGTGGAAAACAAAAAATAAACATGATACCAAAATAGTTCAGATTGTATTATTTCATTGTATAATAATTGTATGATCAAAAACATATACAGGTATATAATGTCATACAATCCTAAACATTAGTCCTTTTAGTGTAGCTTCCTGAGTTTCAAAACATAACTCCTGCAGGTACAAGAAGGACTTCTAGCATATGTCTGTCTGTAGGTCTTTTCATTTTAGTTTGTGATATTAAGATAATAGTAATATAATTCCTACTACCAGTGCCAGTACCAGGGGATTCTGCTTATCAGTGAGCTTCATGAAAAGATTTAAACAAGACCTTAATACAGTTTTCAGCTACAGAACTACAAACATTGACATTTTTAATTTTTGATGTGATTCCTTCTACACCTTTCAGTATCAACAGGTACAGCCTCAAGTCTTTTGTAGTCAAATATATAATACAATAGTGTGACAAATAGATTTATATTTGTGAGTTGCTCAGAGAGAGTTCTTTGGCGTTTATTTTTAAAGCTCAATGCCAGTAGAAAAATGGAACCCAAGAGAGACCAATGTCTTATGGATGAAGCTGAAAGACAAATTGAAGTCGTAGAACTCTCGTAAAATATACATTACTGGAGGATTTCTGTAATGAAGAAGGTGATTTAATTTTAAATACTGTATCATCAGTGATTCCCTTTCATTTGGTTGTGCTCCCTCTATCCGAATGAAATCTGCAGACATGTATTTGTTAAAGCCCAGGAATTGTTTAGAAAATTATACACTGCTTTGAGCATCATCAGACCCACCAGGTAGCAGACATAAAAGGTGCTTAGACAAAGCTAAAGGTAACATTATATATTTTGTTTTTCTATATTATCAATTTGTACAAGAGCCTACTGCTCATTAAACCTGAAGAAGATTAAACTGATAATGAATGGAAGCCTTATTAGTTTTTCCTTCAACTAAAACTAACCTTTAGTGCACTCCATATATTTCTTGCTAATTATAATGTTTATGAAGTGTGTCAGCTTCAGACGTTTGGCACAGTGCAAGAGTTGCTCTTTTTAGAGTCTTTGATATTTTTTAATGTACGTTTTGTAATTCAGCTGTTCCTTTTTTTCACGAGCCCATATTTTTAAATACCAGTTCCTAATCAACAGTGATCATTACTGCAACCCTACTGCCCTTGGGAGAGATGAAGCCTAATACACAGACTCTGAGTGTGTACCGTAAAGAATTTTGCTTCATTGATGCTCATTGATCCAACAATGCCATGTAAAGCATCAAAAGAAAGTGATAGGCTACTCTTACCAATAACACTAGCAGCTCACAGGCAGGCAGCAGAGAAATTGCAGTAGTTGCATTTGTGTAACAAGCCAGGTATCCTCTTGTGTGTGTGATTCCCTACTCAACACTGGCAATACGCCAATTGCACCAAAGTGTGTAGGGAGTCCTGGTCACAGTCGGCTAATGACTGATATAACTCATGTTTGAACCAGGTAGCCTAGAGAGCATAACCTGTTTTCCAAACAAATGATTTTACAGGTTGACTCTCTTAGGATTTATTCATTCTAATAACATTACAATGCTAGTCATTAGCATTAATTTGAAAACTTGTGTACGTGTCTCTTGTCCTTTCTCATGGTTGTCGCAAAATCTCAGAGCCAGGGTCGGATATCCCAATGAACGAAAGCCACTACAGTATGTAAGAATAAAATGTGTTGTCATTCTATATAAGAAGAACCTGGAAAGCAAACTGTCTGACGAAAAGATTGTCTCATAGCCACATTATCATCTTGTCCCCTTCTCCTTTCATTGCTTTCCACAGTCTGCTGTGATACACTGCCTGACACAGCATGGCTGCCTCCTTCCTTCCCTAGAGGTATCTCCATTTCAGCAACTGATAATTGGTTCAGCTGGGACATTATGGTGCTTTGGGATGCTTCGCTGCAGTGGTGAAAGTGCTCTGAAAAAGTAAGTCACAATTGATCAGATGTGTAGGAGTGCTCCAGAGCAGCAATCTGAAATTCCACTGCAAGTGATGGCATTGTGAGACCCTCAGTGCACCTTGCCAACTTGCGAACTGCATGTGATGCCTGTTGGCATTATGTTAATTAGTACTTTTCAGATGATTTCCATGGCAGCTTTATGTGTAGAAACCCATGAATATTCAACGCCCGCTTTGGTCTTTTGTATTTTTTTTTTGCATTTCAGAGCTGCTTAAAAATTTGAAGAGCGCTGCTCCATAAATTATTAATGTTGGATTTTTAGCAGTGTGTCAGAATTTTGCTCTGCATGCAGACCTCATTGTTGCAGTGAAGGTGAAAGATGCGTGCTTGGAAGGTTTCTGTGTTCTTGGCTTTTTGTTGAACCCAGACTGGTTCACGCAGACAGATTTTTGAATTTATAAGACATGGCTTTGATTGCTTTTGCTTGATGTTTAATCTAAAGGTGTATTGCTGCATTGTACCCACAGCTTTTGACATTAAGTGCGTACGGTTATTTGAGTCAGGGAATCTGATTGTTTGGAAAGTTTTCAATTCAGAAACAAAATGCAGTATTGTGCTGATCTTTTCTGAAGAAGCACAAAAGTGTTAACTGAGTATTTGAAAAAGATTGCTGTTGTTTTTGCCTTTGTTATTTTGTTATTTTTAAGAAACTTTTCAAAAAGATAGTTAAGTCATGTTGTTAAAAAATAACATATCAAGGGTTTTTCTGCTTTTGTAGCAGCTATATACTTAACTGATTTTATTGTACATTAATTTAATCTTGATGGGATCTTTACAGACACATTTTTTTTCTGATGGAAAAGCTACTATTTTATGCACAAACACAACTCCAAAATTCACATCACTTAGAAGAATATGGTATTTAGGATCAGTTGGCATACACTCTTTCTGTATAAAGTAATGGCATTACTAAGGCTTAAGATGTCTGGTATTGATTATTAAAAAGAAAACAAAATCAATGAAAAATTAATAAAATGAAATTTTCAAACCTACCCCTAACACAAGTCAGCATGGACAGGAGAGTTACTAGGGAAGAGCCCATTCACTAAAAGGGTGACAAAACTGATTTAAGTAATTATAGACTGATAAATCAGATTTTTGTTAGATGTAAGGCTATCAAAACAATAAATAGAACTGAATGAGAGGATCACCTATCGAGAATTAAAACTAGAAATATAAATGAAATCTTTTTCCTTTTTTAAACACGGTAGTATCATTCGCTAAAAATTGTATAATCGCTGCTTAAACAGATTTACATAAATCTCTATGCGGGAGAAAAGTCCATCTCAATGCACAAACTTCTTTAACAGCTGTTGAAAACTGATTAACCTCAGTTGCAATCAGTTTAGTTCTAATTACAGGGTAAATGGTAAATTAGCATATATAATAATAATATAATTGAACTAATTGGGAAAATGGTATTTCTTGGACTACTTCCTGCTACATTGTCTCTCAGGTAATGCAAGCAAATAGTGTCAGTTCATTTTCAAAAGGAGGCATTGTCTTATTTATAGAAGGTCCTAAGAGAGAGGCTTGCAAATCAAAGAGTGTGTAATGTCCAGACATACCATAGTGTACCTGCTTCACATGGCAAACAGCATGTGGCAGATGGGATGTGGTATGCTACAATTTAGCAAAACTGGAAATGTTGAAGAATCAAGCAGTAGCTCTGAGCCACTGCAGCAGGAGATTGCCCAAGCATGCATATACAGTAGATACATAGTTCCTTGCAAAAGTATTCAGACCCTTGCACAGTTCTGACATGTTGTTACTTTAATGTATGCAGTCATGATAGTGTGAAGTAAAAATATTTGTTATATACTTAACCTACTCCAAACATTCTGATAAAAAAAAAACTGATAGAAATAATTATATAATTAATTGGAAAGAAAAAATGGAAAACTCATTGTATTCTTTCAAACACTTTGCTGTGGAAAACCTAAATTAATGTAGATGCAAAAATGACCTTAATGAGCCACACAATTAGAATAAATGGAAGTTCTTAACTAAAATTTGGGATGGATAATATACAAGCCAATCTCACTCAGCCATTTTAAATCACAATTATTACTGACCTTTGCTATATATATAAAACTCTTTCACACACCTCTTCTCTCATTCATCCTGTCTCCATAATATCTCTTGGTTAACTCCTCTCTCTGAATGGGGTTCGAGCCTCCTCGTCCTATGGCCATGAAGCTAGCTCTTAACCAAGTGGGTTAAGATAACACTTATTATAGTTAAATACTAAAATATTCACAAAGCATCTGATTCTTGGAAGTTGTTATTCTTTGTGAAATCAGTCAGGTACTGAAGCAAAGATTCAACCATGAACACTAAAGGGCATTCATAACAACTCAGGATTAAGGTCTTTTCAAGTTTTAGATATACAGTATAAGTCTTATAAAGGTCAGGAGAAAGGTAGAAAAACAATTAAAAAAAAACCTTAATATCTGTTTGAGTATGTTGACGTTGATCACTGCCTAGATCAGACGGTGTCTCCAGAATTGAGCAGCCGGGCAAGGAAGAAACTGTCAAGCCATCATGAAGTCACTAATGACTTTGACAGAGTTGCAGATGTTGGTGGCTGAGATGGGAGAAAATCTTCACGGGTCAACAATATCCCAGTCACTTCATGAAGGCGCTTGTAACTAAAAAAGTGATTTCAGTACAAATTAAGTTGTACTTAAAACATGTGCCAAATGGAGTTTATAACAGAAGCTTGGTAGAAAGGTTGAATCCTAATAATGCCTACTTCCACTCTCCTATGTGTACAGTATATACATTATTCCTTCTGGTCTTCCCTTTGGTCTAAATTGGCCTAAATGCAAAATGTTCCATGTCATGAAAACCCAACACAGAGCATCACTCTGTCAAGTATGGTGGGGGTAAAATCTTGAATCAATTAATTATTTACATGCTTACACTATCAAATTAATCATGTGTGAATGTACACTAAAGTTACTGACAGTTGACATATATGGTACATGTTGCATTATTTTCCTGATTTTATTTACAGTAGGTGTGCATAACACAGTGACATTAACTGCTGAAAAGTTGTAGTTCTGGCTTGGGCACCTATTTTATTCAGAAATACTGACAATTAGATGGGTAACTTCAAGGTCAGCAATAAAGTTTTTCTATGCTTGTGGTGTAAGGCTTTATCTTGTCCTTCTGCTATTTTTGGTGTTGCATTTCAATAAGCAGTGGCACTTCATCTTACACACGATAGTAGGGTCCTACATAAATTTCAGTTTCCGTTAATGTCATTCTGACTTAATATTGTTGTCATCTGTAAAAGAGACTCATAAAATTATGTGAGCAGAGCATTTTAAAATGCTCCAATTATTTTGAGGTGGATAAAATAATGTCTCTGACTTGCTGTTAATGGCTGTGAATAATGTCTCTGACATTGCAACAGGTGGTATAGGACTCATGGATCTGGCAGTTAATTCCTTATTTGCTATGAAGCCATACTAGAAGTGGTATGTATGCATGTACTGTATTACAGTAGTTCAGCAACTGTGAACAATTTGATAAACTCTTTTTGATAAACATTACATTTTGTCAAAAGGTATAATGGCATTTGTTTTCTTACTGTAGTAAAGATTTGTCTTGCAGTGCTTCAATAGTATCCATCTTTATTAATGCTGACCCTTGTTATTAAGCAATTAAGTAGTTTGAGATTGATTTCTTTCCAAAGGCTTGATTTCCACTTGTGTGACATCAGCACTGAGATGCATAGTTACCTTGTTCTTCTTTATTCATGCGTGCTGCAGAGCTCTGGCTCTGACAGAATAAAGTCTGAACAAAATTGGCCTTCTAAGTGCATAAAGTATATATTCCCTAGATAGTCTTGGCAATTTGATGGGGGAATTGGAATTCTTTTTGCCAATTATGTATCTGATCACTAGTATAGAAGCCTGTTTAACAAACAAACTGTATTTGGAACATGTTCATTTACAAAGGCAAGCATGCTTAAAACTTTTTAGAGAAGCAATTACATCTAATAGAAGGCCCTGCAAAGATTAGTAAAATCAATCTACAGTTCCAATGAAGATTTTTTTCAGTTTAAATTTCTTTATGATTTTTAAGAAATCATGACTGTCTCTAAATCATTAGGAGCAGTATGCAATTTAATAAGCTGTGGAGTGAACATATTAATCCTTTTCTCTGTAGAAAATGTTTCTTAATGAAGAGCAATATTTGCACCATATAACAGAAATAAAAAAGAGTTTCAAAGACAGAATAAAATTATTCTAAAAGGGAAAAGATATAAGTAAATTATTGAGGCAGAGGATTCTTATTTAGTAAATAACTTTTGACTGATTTACAGTATATCAAGGTTTTTAAGCAGAATGAAAGCTTGTTGAGACTCCCTGCTCTCATGCTTTTCTGAAATGAAAGGACTGCAGTGCAGCACAGTTTCAGTGCCTTTTTTATTCTTTAATCAGATAAATTACTATAATATACTCAGCATCAAAAGAAAGTTGTCACTTACAATTGTAAGAAATTCTTTCTTATAGCAGGTGTTCAAGATGCAACATACAGTAGATAAATCCATTATGCTGATTAACGTTAGTCATTAAAAATTATCTGAAAGTGTGAGTAGCCACCACTGGAAGCAATTATAACTGTTTATGTATGCCTGATACTTTGTACCAAGTTGCAGATGTTGTCTTGTGTGATTCTGTCCCATCACTTGGACAAGGATATGAATGTTCACTCGTCTATGAGCCCTAAGTTCCACAAGGTATCCTACAGGTGTCCAATGGGAGTCAAGTCTGCTGGGTTAAACTCATGGACATATCTTTCACATTCTGATCTCACAAGAAAGTTGTTGGTATCCACGTTGCATTTTAATCTGTGTTATATTGACATGTCACGTTAGCATTAACCCTGCAGGAACGGAAACAAGTGATATCTTAGGACCTGGTCAGTTCAGCTCCAGATTGACTGCCTTAA